AAAGATTAGTTCAGTTTAAGTAACATAGCAAACTTAGTTGATAATTAATGCTTTCTGCATTTTGTTTCCCTTCACAGTCATTTTTACATTAAAATTGCACCAAATTCCCTCTGTGCCATCTAGACCAAAACTATAGGAACACATGATTATCATATAAATTATGCATCCCATTAACTGAACCACAGTCTTTAACTGACAGTCAATGTAGTCTTCTCCATGAAGTGCTCAAAGAACACTGAGTATTCACAAATTTCATATGATGATTAATTTAAATCACGATGTTTAGACAATGGAAGAGTAACATTCTACCAACTTTATGTTACTGCAAACTACCTTGCAGCTGTGGGGCTTGATGCAAAATCTGCCTGATTGCAAGGTGCTCCTCTCCTAGATTTTGCACAGCAGAATCCGGATGCCTGCAAGCAGTGTTTGATGAAGAAAGATACCAGAGGTATCCTGCGCCAGAGAAGGAGACCAGAGTACTGGATGGGAGCTACCTGAGAAGAGGTAGTGGTGTGTGTTTAGATGAGCATTTAAGAATTGCCTACAGGATTTTCAGCGGGTTGGTACCGTGGAAGGCAAAGTAAGGAGATGCTTGAGCAGAGTTAGCTTGGAGGGAGAGACTACAAAGGTTCGTGGATCCTTATTTCAGACTTTGTTTGCTCCTACTGTATCATGCTAATCACTCTCATGAGAGACCTAAGCAAAAGCCACTTGGTATTACTGGTGAAGATCACAGAACATCTTTACTAAGACAAAGAAGAGATTTCAAGGAAGAGCTGAGGCAATCCACTACATTACTCTCTGTTGCTTTTGCACTCTGTCAAAAGCTACCGAGTGCGTATCTTTGTGGGTGACTGGATCTTTGCAGAACAGACCATAACTGCAATTTGTTTTCTCTTTTCTTTGAAGCTCTGTCCACAACTCTTTAATCTTCAAGACTGACAGGCACGTGGCCAAAGACCGACTTCTCACTCCTCCTGGGACAGTTTTCTGACATACGCAACGTATAATGCCATATGATTACATCAATATATATAGCCATATAATTCAGGAAGACAGACAGATGAAGACTAGTACTGGAAGTAAAGAAGTTAGTCCAAAGTCTTCCAAGCCAAATTTGGCCAAAAGCAAAGCCCATGCAATGCAAAGAACAAACCCTGTAAGTTTGAAATGGAAGAATAGAAAATACCATATATATAAAACGTATCTCAAAGCTTAGTAGCTAGATTGCTTGCTCCAAGTGTATTATGGTTAAAAAAAATTATAGTCAATATAAATGTCTATATTACATTTTTGTAAGAAATTAGTCTAATCAGAAGTTAGACATGTGAGTAAATATCACTCCTCAAAACCAAAGGTAAGCTGGACTAGCCTTTTAGCCAAAATCTTGGAAAAAAAAAAAAAAACAAACACTTCCTTTTTGTTTTACAGGTATTTTTTTTGCTATTTAAAAAAAAAAAGAGAGAAAAATTCAGAATTATTTAGGAAATACTTTCATTTATGAGGAAAAGGCCATTTTTCTTCTGAAAATGTACACAAAAAAAAAATCAAATAGCTTCAGTATTGTTTCCAAAAAATTATTGTACTGCGAAGGGAAATTTTTTGAGAAAGGAACATACAATGTAGTAGATTCAATATTGTCATTCTAAGCTAATCTCTTTTTGAGCTGTAAAAATGGTTACCAGTTCTCTTAGGTGTATGCAGAAAAGTAAAGCTTACACTCTAAGTGTAAAGTTTTCAGTTTAAGCCCCAAAACTCAATTATGACCTAAATTCTTGAGCATAAAAGCTGAAGATTTAAATCTCTCTATAATCATTTCTTATTACTTTAGATCAATTTAACTACAAAATATTTTGCGCAGCTGTTAAACACTCATCTGAGGTGTACCCTTATTTAATCCTCCACAGGGAGTTAGAAGTCTCTTACCATAACTACACTGCAGTCAGTACAATTATTTTAATTCATATGCTGCTCTAGACTGTAATATTACTAATGAATAAGGAATATTCTCACAACAGTAATTCATGAGTCTTCCGCAGATTAAAATTTTTTGTAAGCAGCTTTCAGAATTGGCTTTTATGACTATGTCATGCAAAGTCTGTTTTGTCTCTCAGAGGATAACTGAATAATGGTGATTTTTTGTTGACCTTTTGAAGAAGTAACACAGCCTGGACTGTCAAGCCAACTCCGTAACACATATCAAACTGTGCTTTTTAATAAACACATTATTATTTTTCTTCAAGCTATACTTACTGCAATGCGTCTTACTTTACTCACACTTTATTTGCTTTTGGACTCAGCGGATCAGATTTGTTAGTGGGATTACATCAGGGAATTCAGTCAAGTCATTTCAGGGAGGAGTCTGACCTACCGAAAAACAGTAGCTGTTTTGTATTTACTTTTCTCAAAGTCTTTTCCGGAACCTTTGAAAACCTGCAGTATGTAGGGGAAAGATCTTGATCCTTGAGCAACTAGAGGGCCCATCCTACCTAACCAATACTCATGGACATTTGTCTCTATTTCAGACAGCTTGGTCTTCAGGATTGAGAAGGTCAAGAGCAATAAAAACTGCTACCCTTTTGGACCACATTTTAGCATCTTCACTCTAGTCAGTGTGGACTGTGGGAAAAAGCATCTTACCATCACTGTTGACGCAGACGACAAGAGGAACCTGCGTACCAGGGCCACATGGCTTCTCATTGTCGGGAATGCACTCCTCCAGCCCCACAATTCTCCAGTCGTAGCAGGAGGGCTCTTCACACGGGATGGCTTCCAGCAGGTGAGGGCAGTTCCCCGTTCCTCCTGTAGGCTCATTAGTGATGCGCCGTTTCCTCAGTTTAAAGCCTGAAATGCCCATGAAAACACAAGAGGCAGAATAATTCAATCCTAAAATGCAAACTGAAGAGATTTTTATCTATCTACACCTGAGTGAACAGTTGTTTCTCTTCTGTGTAATAGATACCACAGACACTCCGTGCACAACTGTATTTTAGATAACTGGGTAGCAGAACTCATTAAAGAAGAAAGAGAGATAAAACTTAACAGGAGCATCAGAAGTTTGGAGTTTACTCAGTAAGCTTTGCCTTAAACGCCTCTTTATCCTATCATATGTACTCCAGGAGGGAAACAGGTGTCATTTCGTGTGCATCACCCTTTATGGATCAATCTCATCTAACAAATCTTGACTAGATTGCTGGGTTGCCATTTCTCATATATGTTGTTTGTTTTCTTCTCAGGTATCTTCCAACAGGAATGGATTATGAAGTGAAATCAGCTTATAAACCCTCCCTTCCAACCCTCACAAAAAGAAGAAAGACTACATTGCCAGAAAAGGCAAATCACAGAAATAAACCCAAGAAGTCCTATGAACAAATTTACAGTAATTAACATCACAATATCCCCTTGGAGGCATTTACAAATTTATTTAAGGATACTTAATCCCATTTTGGATTGCAGAAACTGATGGGCCTTAATACAGTGCATCACCTGCCCAGTCGATGTCAGTGTCGAAGAACAATCCTCCCTCTCACTTTCAGGATGGCATGTTGAAAAAGCCATACTAGATCTACAGTCAGAACAACTGAACCAAACTGAATGGATTCAGCAAACAGTCTCTCATGTAATAATTTTCTATAGTCTCTCATATACCTGATCAGAATATTTTAACCTTGGCAAAGCTTTATTTCTTTTCACATCCCTTCACAGTCCTCTTTGTTTTAACTCAATATTCAGGTAGGTTAGTAATACATATATTTTTTATAAATATTACACATAACTCTCTACTTTCTTCCAGGACACAAACTAAACAGGAGAGAGTTTTCAAACATATATATGCAAGAATTGATTCTCTGTTTGAAGATGTGCCTCAATTAAATTATCATAGATATTACCTTAAAAATACATTTTCATGTGTCTTTAATAGCTTTTTTCTAAATTGAAGAGGTCAGCCAAATTATTTCCAAATGGTTTACTGAGCCTGCCATAAAAGGTTGATATTTCAAAAAAAGAACTCCAGTGTCTACTGCAACAAAGGAGGCAAATGATCCACTGTAAAGGGCCATTCCTGAAATATGTAGAGAATCTTGCTGCTAAAGCTGGGAGTGCCTGTACAAATTTTACATCATTCTCTCAGAAGAACTCTCAATGCAATTGTAAAATAAACTATAAGACTTTCCAGATAAGAAAATAAAAGAATTTCCAGATAAGAGGAAAACACTGGCAATTGAGAAAAGATCCCTGCTCACGTCTGCAGGAATAAAAACTTGCATAAAGTACATCTTAATACTCTTCCGTTACGCAGGTGTCCAAATCAGTCTCACAAACCTAAACACTACTCCTAAAAATGTAGGAAATCTTTCAGTGATGAAACTGCAACAGAAATACAAGATTACTTGACCACTGTACTCAGATGAGACTCGATCCAATGAGTTTACACACTGCACTGCTTTTTCCTTCTTGAGTTGATCACGGTTGAGGCACATTACCATGAGACTGCATTGTGAAACCTGCATTATTGCTGCCCAGACTGAAGTTTAGCTAGCGGCGTACCAGGAAGAAGCAGCTAAGCTCTTGTAGTAATTACAATTGCTCCTTCAAGTGGACATACGTGGCTGCCCTTTCTTATGAGTGTTTTCAATCAAGGAACCAAGTCTGCATTCTCAAATTTTGCCAGATAATCATATCGCAGCAATGACTGGGCCAGTTTTTCTCATTTATGGCCAGAAATCTCTAGACTTCTTACATGAGGTCCTTGTCACTCTATTCTTGCTTTCCTATTTCGATGTCAAGTTATTACAATCTGTTCTGCACAGGAATAAACTGTAAAACATGAAAATTAAAACCAGCACGTATGTCATCAGTAAAACACTGTTACTTATCAACAGAGAATGGTCCCAGCTCCTTGCCAGAGCATACTTTATGGTCTAGTGGTGAATTCTTAAGCTATCAATGAACTGTAAATCTTTGAGTGACTTGGACACTATGCACCTCAAATGCTGCTTCAGTTCTTCTTGAAGACAGTGCCAGATTTGTGTTTTGAACACATATACAAACTGTATCCCTGTCAGTTTGAGAGGAATTGACTGGAACTGACCTGTAATAACCCAAACTGACCTTGAAAGGCTATTAAACAGCCTACATTTTTGCCAGCTTTGGTGGAGCAGTAATGCTAAATATAGTCCTAACTCAATGACCTCATTTTGATGGTCAGTGGCACTGGGTATACCCTTCTTGGCACAAAATTTAGTATGCTTGCACAGCCAGAGGTGGCTAGTGACTTAGGAATATGAAATAATCATCATCAAAAGGCTTCGCGGAATGTTTACATACCCTTCTTTGCCTGAGGGTCATCACAGTTTTCATAGGTGCACGGTCCCCAGGCTGACCACGCCGAGGTCTCACACTCCGTAGGACAGGGGATATGGCACAGCTGGGAGGTGCTGGGAAGAGGTCCCGTACACAGCCTAAGGTCCACCGGCCTCGAGGCTGTCAAAACAAAGTCAACACATTTCCCACGTGTCACTGGTCAATCCTCAGCTCTAAGTGGTCAGAACCATCCTTCATTCAGAAAGGCTGCTATCATCATTTTAGTCTGATGAAGTGATGGTAAGATGCCTCTCTTGAAAAAATGAAACAGAAGCCAGTTTACTCTCCACGTCAACAGAGCCAAATCCGATTATGTGGAGTCAGGAAGACTGTAGATATTGCAGCACTCTCTGGGATCTAGTCCTTTCATTTAATGGATAGCTTATGTTACTTACAATGGTTGCTCACAGTGCACTCTGTGTAAATCAATGTCCTGCTGTCTTACTGAGTATGTCTTCAGTTAAAACTGAACAAAAAGCTGTACAAATCCCTTTGCTCCTACATGATACTCTACCTTCAAAAGCCTGGTTAATTAACATTTAGAAGATTATTTTAAGCTATAACCTGAAACACATTTAAAACTATGAAAAAATTTTGGTTTTTCTTTTACTCTAAAGACCTTCAAGTGCACACTCAGTAATAAGATTTGTGCAGTCGCAGCTTTAGTTCAAGAAAGGTTTATTTCAGATACATATATAGTTTGCATATAATATAAATATATATACATAATGTATTTAAAATAATTAAAACTCTGCACAAGACAATCAATTTTTTAATTAAAGTATTATTAATCTATAAAGACACTCGTGAAAGCAGATTCTTCTGTTCTTTAAAGGTCAAAAAGCCCTGGAAGAGGCCAAAATCACCTTGCTCCTTCCATACTTTCTTCTTTTGAATTCCCAGGTTACACAAGTAGTAGGACAACTCTATAAGGTGCCTCAGTAAGGCAGAGAACTGTAAAACAAAATGTACCATTTCACTACAAGCAAGATTTTTATTTTCTTTCATAATATAAGACTTCACAAAATATTCAACTAAGCAGAAAATATCTGCTAGAAGGCAAAGTGAAATCTGCCATATTCATTCATTTTGGTTGATTGAAGAAACATGCAATTCCTTAACTTTAAACACTCTCATCCCTCAGCATTTTTTCACAGGAACGTTACCTCAACCATTTCACTACAAGCAAGATTTTTATTTTCTTTCATAATATAAGACTTCACAAAATATTCAACTAAGCAGAAAATATCTGCTAGAAGGCAAAGTGAAATCTGCCATATTCATTCATTTTGGTTGATTGAAGAAACATGCAATTCCTTAACTTTAAACACTCTCATCCCTCAGCATTTTTTCACAGGAACGTTACCTCATTAATTTTCTGCCACCACTACAAATAATCTCTTTTGATGGAAAGAGTTCTCTGATGAAACATATTCTGAAATAAATTCAGATTATGACAAAATATCCTTCTGAAAGATGAGATCATTAATAACAGATATAATGTTAAAGCAAATATCAGATTGTTAAAGTATGGTCTCATTTGTAGATGTGCGTGTCTCTTTTCGTTCAGACTTTCTAAGCAGACAGTCTTTCCGGTTACAGAAAAAGCATTTAATTCTCACTTTTTAAGAGGAAAAGGGAATGAAAAAATCAATGGCCTCCCTGTTCTGGTTTCCCACGTTGCCTCCTTTGGCACAGTTTTATACTGTATTGCTCCACATAATGAAGGCATTAGGATGGTAGATAATCATTTGACATTACTGCCTCCAGCTCACCAATATCTTAACAGAAAATAATACAAGAACAAATTTTCCAACATTTGCATAATGCTATGCCGGAATTAAACTTTAGAATAGAACACTGAATTTCACAAGAAGTTTGACATGTGCACCTAACATGCATGATAATCAATATAATATGCATATCTTGTGTAGAACATGGATATAAATAAACATAGTTTTCCTGTAATTGAATTTGTATTGAATAGTTTCTAATAAAAAAAGAAAAACAGTAAGTAATTGCTAAATGTACTTTATTACCCTTGATTTAATCAGGGAATTGCCCAAGTGAGACAGTTGAAATTAAGGGTCATTTACACCCCTGAGACACAGCCTTGCTTCAGGGAACAGAGAAAGCATTCCAGGGAATGCCTTGCTTCATCTCCAGCCTGCATCAGGATAAAGCACTTACCATCACACTAGTTCATGGGATATTACTCAGAAAAATAAAAAAGACCTTTCATCAGGAAGACTTAATTGGCAGATTTTCATTTCACAGATGTTCCATAGCTCAACCAGATTTTTTTAAGAGTCTGCCAATAGAAGGTACTACTCTGCTACGGGTTGGACTAGATGACCCACAGAGGTCCCTTCCAACCCCTACTATTCTGTGATTCTGTGATTCTGTGATAGTTTTCCTGTAATTGAATTTGTATTGAATAGTTTCTAATAAAAAAAGAAAAACAGTAAGTAATTGCTAAATGTACTTTATTACCCTTGATTTAATCAGGGAATTGCCCAAGTGAGACAGTTGAAATTAAGGGTCATTTACACCCCTGAGACACAGCCTTGCTTCAGGGAACAGAGAAAGCATTCCAGGGAATGCCTTGCTTCATCTCCAGCCTGCATCAGGATAAAGCACTTACCATCACACTAGTTCATGGGATATTACTCAGAAAAATAAAAAAGACCTTTCATCAGGAAGACTTAATTGGCAGATTTTCATTTCACAGATGTTCCATAGCTCAACCAGATTTTTTTAAGAGTCTGCCAATAGAAGGTACTACTCTGCTACTGTCGCAATCCATTTGTGATAGTCCTGAACTTCTAAAATATGAGGAACTGTGACTGTGTTTGGCTTTAAAGAGGATGACCTCAGTAATAGGAATGCTATTCAAATCTTTTTGGAGGTATGTGTCCAGTAAGAATTCTAGGTCTTCTCAGCAAACATTGTTAAATAGACTTGGCATGATGACACCTACTGAAAATATCTGCCTTTTCCATCACTCATTACAGTGCAGGGGAAGAAAGAAGTGCTTTGGGGACTGGTAAGTGGTATCAATAAATCTCTTGATATGCCAAAATGTTTTTCAAACGCTCTTCTTAGAACATAAGTAACCTACAAATGTCTGCTACCAAATCAGTTATATATCGTTTTTAAAACAACAGAATTCAACAGTAGGACAGACAAGCTATATTCCAGATTATTAAAAAATGTTTTCATCACTGAAGACCCAGTGTGTATTTCATCCAGAATTACTCAGAATTCTTTCTTTGAGATGACAATAAAAACAAGAAACTTAGCCTTGACTGGGTGTCTTACGAACATCTTGCTCCCATTAATTTCAATGGATTTCTTCCAGCATCAAAAAAGTACAAATGAGCTCAGCTTTTGCTCCTTATTGTTTAGAAAAGATGTTTTGAGAGAAGATGATGCTGGATGCAGAAATTTACAGTTTAAAACCTTGTCTTATCTCTGTCTTTTCATACTCTCCTGTGGCAGCAATAAAGATTGTTCTTTATTCATTGGCAGTGATGCTGAATGCTGATTAGACTGTGTGTAATACTACAAGTTCTGTGTGGAATTTGACCAAATTTGGGGCCAAAAATGGAAAGAAAAGTGAGTGCATTTTGATAATCTCTCTTTCTCCTGCAGTCTAACTAAAAATTTAGACTCAGGTTTGAAATAATTTCAGGTTTGAGATAATGACCTAAAAACTAAAATGAGATTCAATCACTCTGTCCTCATCTCATCTACTATATTAGGAAATTTTAGCTGAATATATTTTATACCCATGTAAAAAACCTCCCCGAATGACTGCATTTTTAAAAGAACTGAAAAGAAAAAACACAGTTCTGTTCTTAATCACTTGACACATTTATCGAGGTCTCAACCTTCCCATTCTTCTCCAGGAAGCCTCAACAGATGAGTGCCCAGTAACGACCAGGCTGGCAAAGAGAATGAATTTGTATGTGGCTGCATCAGCATAAGCAGACACATCTTCATGTTCCTCCTTCTGCTCATCTGTTGCACAGGTTTCACAGCAAACAACAGAAGGAAATCTCTGCAACTGAAGTGCTCTCACTCCAAAAAAGTGAGAAAAACTCAAGCCCAAACCACATTATGACCAACAATGAAAGAATACATATTCTTCCCTCATTTTGCATAAAGCTAAATGCTGTCATCAAAAGATGGCAGATAATTCAGGACCTGATCCTTTAAGCAACTGCATAACCCAACGCATACAAGCAGCTCCTCTGTGTTTAACAGGGCAACAAGTGTGTGTTTGCAGATGTAGAAGAAATCTATGCCCATAAAGCAACTTTCCTCCCATCCTCTTTCTACATTGAGAGTTTCAAAGGTACTTGGAAAAAGGTGACACAGTCTACCTCACAGGCTTGCCGTGAGAGAAACTTCATGACTAAACCAGTTCAGTAGGTGAACAGAGATGAAACAAATTAAGTCAGTGGCAAGTAAATGGCAGAATGACAGTGGCCTCCAGGAATCTTGATTATCAGCTAATTACTGCACCCAATACTCTCCCTTATTCCTCAAATCAAAATTTATGAATTCTGATAGGACATCATACAGACCTGAATGCCATGAGGGATTACAGTTCAGCGAAGTATTAAAAGTTCAAAATCTTACTGGAGCCCTAACTCAAGTGTTTTAAATCTACGAAAGGGACTGGAAATAGCAGCTGTGACGAACGCAATGAAGCAATTCCTAGCACTCAGAATCTAGAGGAAAATCAGTCACTTGCTACAATGGTTCAGGAGTGGAACAGGGAACCGTCTTAGCATCTTAGGTGGCTCATGAACTTCAGTAGTGTTAGTTTAGGTCTGTCACTTTCAAACTGATCTGAAATTCCATGAGAATGCACAAAGCTCTTAAACTAGTTCAGAGCTATATAAACATGTTAATTATACACATACAGCCAAATTAGTTCCCCCAAAAGGGCTGTTGCCTCCTTTGTATGCTTTTGATTGAAAGGGCAGGTCAGAGGCCTTAATTCACGTACCTGTTATTTCAAAAGTGATCGATAGCAGAGGTGCAGCACTAGCCTTCGACTTGCTCTGTGATTGACTTTCTGAAATAACAGGGAAACGCCACTGTGAGTATATGAGAATGGACGCCTTCAAAGCAGCCTTACCGAGACAGCATTCACTACAACCAACAGCAAACTACACTGAAACCAAGGCGTTTGCCCATGGCTAAAACTGGTAGGTGTCTCCCTCTGGCTTCTTCCCATCCTCAAATTACTCCTAGTTTTCAAACAGTATCATTTTTAGAGGCACTGATTTGCTTGTTCCTAGGAGAGCCTCGAGAGCAGCTCTTGCCCACACGGAATCCAGGATGGGAGGGAAGCGAGAGGGAGGATGAGTGGAGAAGGAGCTTTTCTGAAAATCTCTTCCCTAATAAGGAAACACCCCAGAGCTCCTTTCTAAACTAAGCCCCACTTCACCCCTAGTTTCAGCTCTTGAAAAACTGTTCTCATGTTTATGCATCCAAAGACTAGTTACATTTTAATCAGCTTTCCGGGGCCTGCGGAGATTACCTCCTGATGGGCTCCGCATATTCCTGTCACACTCTGATAAGGGCAGATTTCACACCCGCCTAAGCCAGTGAGACTTCACAGCCTACCAAAATCCTAATCATCATTCTGAACAGTAAGCTGCCACGGATTTTATTGTTACCTCTCCCCAGCTGGGAGGTTTTACTCCTTTACTCTAAGGCAGGGGCATCCAAACTTTGTTCAGCAGAGGCGATTTACTAAAAGCCCTTGGGCAGAAGCTGATTTGCATTAAATGAAGCAGCTTGAAAGCTTCTTCTTTAATAAATACAGATGTGGGGGCCCACGGAGCATGCAAGTCACACCCTACCAATCCGAGAAGTCATGCTGAAATGGATGTCAGCATTAAGATTCCCCACAAACTCTATCTCTATGGCAAGTTTGAGAGTGCTTCTAACACACAGCAGAAACCTCACCAGCCTGCAGTTTGGACAGCTCTGGTCTAAATGTTGTATTACACAACTTGCATAATGATGTCGCTTTTCCTGAAGTATGTGGCTATATTTATGGATTTAATTCTTTTTAAACAATAACATGTGTTGGTATGAAACAGCTATGGCAGGGGATAAAATTTAATTAACAATCTAAGCGCATTTAGCTTAATTCACTAATTTCTAAATCTATAGTGTTGCAACAGTATGCAAAGGCAGACATAACAGAAAATATTCCGGTATTGTTCTTAAGTACCTATATTATCAAAAAAATTAAAGATTTTGTCTCTTAAGCTGTTCTCAAGAAGCTGTACAAGCTATAACAGTGACAGGCAATAATCTCTCTCTCTCTTTCAGTTGGGGAAACAAACCTATGAAACTATATTGGCTTGAAGTCCTGAAAGTGACTTAAGAACTCGATGAAATCAAGAAAAGGAGAAAAAAAAATTAAAAAAAATACCCCAAGAATGAAATCCAGTCATATTTTTACATACTTCTATACTGAGCTTACATGCCAGAACTGACATATTCATCTGCACATCAAACCGCATAGGTTCATCACCCAGCACACACAGGAAATTTAGAGTAGAGGAAGGAACTGAATCTAGGATTTCTGACCCACATTCTCATGCTCTTTTTTATTGAGACACACCCTTCACATTGGACAAAATTTTTCAGTAGATCTCAAGAAAAAGTAATTTGTAGCTAGGAGCCAATATTTGCAGCATAGAGAATAAAATCTCTGCGATTGCAATTAACTATTTTCATCTGAAATAGAAAATAACAGTAACCTGCAAGGTAATAAGGCACTCATGTCAGAAGACAATGGCTGTCAAGGAGCTTTGGAATGCTGACGTGCTCTGATTTCACACTAATTCAATTGCAACTGAATCAAATTTACCTTCTTTTTCCTTGAGGGTATTTAAATAGGAGAGGAGATTTTCATTTGCTTGCACGCAGTACACTTCCCGGGTTTGAATGCCGCCTCCGCACAGCGCCGTCTGATTTCCTCGCCTCTTGTCCTGCTGGCTAAGGAGAGGATCAGCACGACATTCTGTCCACTCTGTGGTCCGCCAACCGTACCTGGATCAAATTTGGTTAATTGGGTCATTCAGAAATCATGAAGCCATTTTACACAGCATTGTTATACAAGCTGAAACACCCTGATAGCTTTACTCATTTGCTAAAAGGCCTGAGCTCCACCATTTTTTGCACACCGAGATGCGTTAAGTCTGATATTTTATGTGGGTGGAAACTTTTCCTCTGTTCTTTCAGTTTTGAAATTATCACTTTTTAGGAACGTCTTTTCTGTTCAATTCTTGAAACACACTGCACATATAAATATTTTATTGGATGGAAGAAAAACTTCATATACAGAGACATATTGTTAGATAAGCTAACTTTCAAGATTGTGACTTTTGGCATTTGTTTAGAGCTAGAAAATTTATATGAACCAAAGGCAAAATATCAAAGAAGTGTGTACAATGAGAAACGTAAGAGCCAGAAGAGGAGAGCAGGAAAAACCACAACCACCCAAAACCCCCAAAACAAACCCCAAAGCCTCCTGTTGATCTTTGATAAGAAAGACAAAACTTTCTCCTGAATATCAAGGTTAAACTATAATTGTACTTTTTCATTATTATTATTACTTCAGAAAAACCTTTCAGTAAGTTCCTTTTTCAGCATCAAGAGGAAGACGGCTCTGCAGTATTGAAGCATCCCTGCTGGGTACTGATGAATGATGATAAGCTGTGAGCTTTCTAATCAGTGAATGTGCAGGGAAAAAGATCTGTGACTCCCAGTTAAAACCCCAATCAGGATTACAAACTGCAAGAAATGCCACAGAATTCTTTACCCAACATGTACTTTAAGGCTAAATCAAGCAAACTGCTTCCCAATGTGTCTGGAGATGGGAAACTCTTCAACAAAGAAAATGAACCACAGTCAAAGATTCTTAACATCAAATGACATTTCCCCAGACACTCTTCTCAGTCTGATAAAGCACAGTTGGGGCTTTAATATTAGTCTTGATTAGTTGATAAGGATTACAGCAGTCTCTTGAATTGTAAAGTGCTTGCTGTCATTCCTCCTAAACTTTAAACAGGGTTAATTTATTTACTGTCATTGCTAGCCTCTCACACTTTCCATTTGGGGCCCAGTCCTGCCTTTGTTGTGCTGAATAAGAGTCTCACTAAAAAAGTCTGTTTGCTAAACAGATGTTTATCACCTCTTTCCTACGAGCAGCATTTTGTCTGCAAACAGACAGGTGCTTTATAAAACTCTTGACTGTGCTTGCATATGCACAAACATTCTCTTTTATAAGTTAAAACTAATGGAAAAATATATATTTGTATTTAGAGGAGGAAGTGATTTCCTTATAATAGCAGCTCTTTGCAAACTTCAGACTTTGAAGAAGAGCAGTGAATAAGCAAATCTTTCTTTAATAAAGATTTGATTGATATTACATTACCAGCCCTGTATGCTTAATTGAAATTCTTACTTTTGGTATAGGGAGAACTGAAATGAACCAACTTACGTAATGCACGGTGCCACACCATCTCCTTGAGAAACGCACTGCTCTGTTTCTTCTAATTGCGGGCATTCGCTTTCACTGCCGATAGGGAGCTGCTTAATGGTCCGTGATCTTGTACGATTCCCTTTAGGGGTTGTCATGTCAAAGCAGGTTTTGGAGCAGGGTGTCCATTCTGACCACTCTGACACCTGGCACTCCTTTGTGATCACACAGGACTGGAATGTAATGGGCAACTTGTCTTGTTTGCAAAAGCTGTAATAAGAGAAAATTGCGGTTTTCAGCACGCATATTCACAGATAGTCATGAACTCCTACAGAAAAGCACTGTACGTTGCAACAAGCAAAGTCAGTAAATATTTGTAAAGCTGTCAAGTTCCAGTCCACATGCATTTGATCGAAAAAAGTCAGGCAAAAGGGCTTTTGGTTAAACTGACTCAAAGCAGACACATAAGATTTTCTATAGTAGGAAATGGCCAGTAATGCCATATCTGTGTTCAAAATTAAAATATAAATCTTCATACATACATAGAAGTACAAAAGAGCAAAGAAATCAAATTTTCACCACTTGTTTTTTATTTTTAGGTGTACTAAACTATATTTCTTGGAACAAAAAAGGAAGTGAAGGGTCAATAACAGAGATGGCTATACAATGTTTTTGAAGAGAAGCAAGTGCTCAGTGTCATCTTCCCCTGATTTCCAGACTATAAATTATTTAAAAACACAATGTCAAATACATCGAATACTTGGTCACTAATTCTTTGCTTTGTTAACAGTTGGTATATTGCCATAGTGGTGCCTCATGATCTAAAACAAAAATGGTCTCTCCCTTAAAACAGAGCCTTCCCCGATAAAGTGAAACCATAGCCTTAATTTCCTGTTCCTCATGCAGGCCGTCATTTCCATTCTTCATCTGATTGCTTCAGTCACATATTATATAGGTTTTCAGCAAGATCTTCTCCCTCTAAATGTCTCTGCATTTTCAAATGTTATGTTCTAACAATAAACTAACTTATTTCTACTTTAAACCTTGATTCACAATAGGAAAATGAGCAATAGAGAAGCTAAAACACAATTAAAGTGATCATAACTTTAATTCCTTAATTATAATTACTACACAAATATATTTAACATGTCTGTTTTAGAATAAAATTCTGGCTTCTGAAGTAGTTAAACAGTCAGGAAAAAGATCTATCCGCACTGCAGACGGCACAGTGAAACGCTCTGTTCAGTACCAGTCCTATAAACAACACAACAAAGGCTCATTTTTTCCTTTCAATAGAATAAAATAATAAAGAATAATGAATATTTACAACAACTTTGTTGCCATACAAAACTTTGCCTTACCCACATGCAACATCATGTTGAACTAGTATTAAACAAAGTTTTGTAATGCTAGAACTAGGGATATTTGATGAGACTAACAGGAGATTTGAAAACACAATAAATGAAGCTACTTCTACATGAAAGAGGCAGAGCAATTCTACATCCTGCTAACAGAAGATGCTGGCTGTGGAGACAGACAGTGTCAGCAGGATCAGAAAGAAGCTGGATGAATTTGTGGACAGTAGGTCCATATACGGGTACCAAAATGACTAGGCAAATGATACACTTGCCACCATTCCTAATGCATTGACTTTGGATACTGGAGGAATACAAAGGGAATGGGCTGCAAAAGGCAGCCAGGGCTCATATGTTTGGTCTTTAAATAGCATCTCCTTTTACCACTGCTGGAGACAATAGGGTGAAGATGCTGCTGGGCTTGACAGACCAGAGGGGATTACTCAGTAGGAGAGGTTTTTTTATGTTCTTATTATGGGATGGGGGAGACACCTAACACATCATAGACACCCTTTACTCTGCTTAAGGACAGAAATTACACCCTGTTTGGGGTGAAAGACACTGAAAGCTTTTGAGAAAATTGTTCTTTAATAATGGACTTTTTTCAACTTCATCTAGCCCCATCTGGCAGAGGACGACAGTACCGTCAAATTCAATATAGCAGTTTCCGTACCTTTGACAAAACATATAGACTCATTTCTCCCACAAAGACACACATTCTAATGACTGTAGAAAAGATCTATTCCTTATGGATTCTAACATGGACAGGATTTGCAGGTCCTTCTGGAGAACAGATGTCATATCATCACCTCCCAACTTCCTTTCCAATGTGACTCCTTTGAGAGCAGAAAAAATCAACCTCTTCACTCATACTGTGACTGGGGCTGAGCTTAATTATAGAAACATATTGCCAGGAACACACACAAAACTGCCACCATAGAGTAGCTTTGGTGCAGAGTGAAGAGATCAGTTAACGACGTGTAATACTTGATGGGCTTTGCATCTGCTTTAAAACTTACTTGGGAGAAGTGTTACATGAGAAAGACTAATATTCATTCCGAGAAGCTGTTTTACTAAATAAACAAATAATCTTTTTTCACTGAAGTTACCTTCAACCTGCCTATACCCCTGTCACAAACCCTAAAGGTGTCCCTGGTTGTGACGGGCTGCGATTCCTACACAGCTTCATGCAGACATTGTTTCCTTTCCCGAGAAGGGAAACCTTCTCTGCAACACAAAGGGTTCAAGGTCTTTAGGATGACTGATGCATAGGAAAATCGAGCTCAAAACTAACGCACTTATCAGTTTATAAAAAATAATGTTCTGAGCTAATTAAATTCAGTAGAAATGTATATCACAGGTTTTCTGAAGAAAGTGGAAAAGATTGACAAAATCGAGCCAGTGTACTGAGAAAAAAAATGGTTTTCCATAACCATAACTGAAAAAAACACTTTAACAGATAGTTGTCAACCAATTACACTTAAAAATTTAGGCCAGCCCTGCAAACTAATGATATTTATTAATTTTTAAATGATACAGTCACTTCCTGAAAGATTACTGTAGGTCACAGACACTTTTCTGATTCCTAGTGCTACTAGATCATTCACAAAGAATTCAATATAGGCATTACTGCAACTTTAGTAACAAACTTTCATTTCGCAGATCCTTAAACTGTAATTGCTATATATGCAAAAAGACCTCCTGAAGTTTCTTGCTGTTCAGTACCCCTATAACCTTGAACGCCATGATGCTGAAGTCTCTCTGTGGATCATGATGCAAAATGTTTTTTAAAAATTTAGACCTAGATTTGTTCACAAGCCTCAGTTGAAGTGTTATTTGGTTAGTGGCATAGGTTCATTCAGCAGACTAGTGCCTTCCACTTTACACTCATTTTATTTTTTATTAAAAGCTGTTGTTGTATAGCTTATATAATTAGAATGGTCATTTTATCTTTTTTGTTATTAATTATTTCCGTAAGTGGGTATGAAGAGGATCCAAACAGAACTGTATCACATTACTAACTCAAGTGTATATTTAAGACCTTTGAGAGAAGAAAAGCAATAAAACGTGCCTCACTTCAAATATTTACTTCTAAAATTAACCAATTTAAAATGAAATATATATATATAAAAAAAGTTCTTAAGTTCTTGTAACCAGAACATAAATATTACTAGGGAGACAAACAAGAGGCAAAGTGAGTTATCCATCTATATTCTTGCCTGCTTATTAAAACCATGCACCACTTGCAGTATTGGGTAAATACTGACAAGTAACTGATATTGTTGCAAGTCACCAGCAAACAATCTCTTTACTGTTATACATACTGTCATGTTATTTTTGTGAGAGGGGAAAGACAGTTACAATTAGCAAAAGAAGTGTAAACAAGCAAATTAGCCGCTGTTTCTTTGTTTTTACACTTGGCTTTCTTTGAACAAGTTAGAGAAACTGTGAGAGCGAATTGCAACTGGCCATTATCAAGAGTTTTCCTTCATGTTCCAGGCAGCGGGAGAAGGTGTGTTGCATTCTAGATCAAGTAGGGACTACAGAAGCATCACATTTAAACTCTTCAGTATCACAAATGTCTCTAAACAAGACCCAGTTAAAACTCTTCAGTCAAATAAATGGTTATGGAAGTGCTTCAACCTCTTTGAAGGCAACAGAGTAACTTCCAGACCAAATTACAAATCCTTTCCCTCCCTACCACCTTTCCCTGTTCCAGGCGCATACATACTTATTACCTGCAACTAATCTACACTTAATTTAATGTTGCATCTCTACATATTCCCCTTTCCCAAGAAATTTAGGAACAATGAATGTGATGTTCCAAAGTCCCCTCTCATTTTTTCAAAGATCTGTTTTCTTCTTTTTTGACTCTTGACTCCTTTAAAATATTTGCAAACAATTTTCAAACTTTATCTTACCAAGAGAAACAGATGTTACTCATATCTTGCAGTCCAGATGACTAGAGACAGACATTCATAATTAAACTTACTGTGTTGTATAAAAATGCTAAATCTGAAATACACCTGTGCCATTTTAAAAGTTCAGCATATGTAATACATTAGCTGAGAAGGTTGGTCATGTTTCCTTTAAATGTCTGATACAAGGAACTGCATAGATTGATTCCCAACCGAAACCCAGGAATGTCGTTGTTACACAAAATAGTGTCTTCTGGATTTGGTATCTAACATTATAGATCTGATCTCCACAAATAATTTAAAGCAAAGCTTAATCTAATCTAAATTGCTCTGCACTTTCTGATGGATTTATCCATCTGATTTAGTTACCCAAAGTTGGATGAATCTTCTCACAGGAGAAAAAGCAAATGGGCAGGTAACAGATCAGAAGATAAAAATAGATAGTTAACATTCATTTCTTGATACCACCCAAATTACTAGAAATTCTACATCTAACATCTCCATGCTCTGTGTACTTTCAGTAACATCTAAGAATATGCTATGTGCTATATGCAAAATTAGCCATGCAAAACAGGCAGGGAATGCACAAAAAAGTCCTCACTATCCACCTGTACAGTTTTGTCCAGATAATTGCTTGGGAAGCTCAAAGAAAAGTACCAGTTGCATTTAAAACGCTGTTATAAGTCAACAGAGCAGACAAGATACAAGACGAGGTAGCAAAGGGGTAACAAGTAAAAGTCTGCAGGAGCTTGCTCTCAGTCCAGTGAATACATTCACTTATGTGCCTGTCTTTTGGCAGGGAAGAGGGCATTATATGATTTGAAGTAAAGCTGTGGTTTGAGAAAGTAGCATTTCAGACAATAAACAGATATAGTGGGGAATTGAAGCTGAAGGTATATAAGCACATAGATGACAGTGGAAAGAGAAGGCAATCCTGAGCAAAACAAAACATCACAAGGGATGAATGAGCCCTGTTACTATTAAGCCAGCATCAAAC